TCGAGAGACTGTTTTCTGTTTAGCTGACTTCCATGAAATAATATTATTGCCAAGATAGAGTACATAAGCTGTAGTGGAATGCCCCTCGTCGTGAATGCCACCCGGTCAGAATCAGAAAAGGCAAACAAATTTAATGACGAGTCATAATCCAAAGGCACTCAGAATCAGAAGATAGAGTGCATAATCCAAAGTGCCTTTGAGATACCGAAGTACCCGCTTGACACCCTGCCAATGAGTATCAGTAGGTGCATGCATGAACTGTGAGAGTTTATAAACCGCAAATGATATGTCCGGTTGTGTAAATGCCAGATACTGTAATAACCCAAGGGTACGCCTATACTGAGTATTGTCAGTAGGAGTCGTACCATCCTGGAGAAAAAATTGCCCTTTAGAACTCATAGGAGTGACTGCCTCCCTGGCTTCTTGCATGCGACAGGTCTCCAAAATGTGGAGAATATATTGTCTTTGAGACAAAAACATTCCAGTGCCAGTGGGAATTACCTCCACCACAAGAAAGTGATGTAAACTGCCAAGGTCTTTTATGGAGAAGCGCTTAGTAATTTGAAGCACAAACGACTCAACCGCACTTGAGCTATTTCCAGTGAGCACAATATCATCTACATAGACTAGAAAATAGATGAGAACACCTTGGGCTGAGTAAATAAAAAGGGAATTATTTGCTTTAGATTTACTAAAACCCACTGAAATGAGAAATTGTGAAAGTTCCAAATACCAAGCTCAGGGAGCCTGTTTGAGCCCATATAAAGCCTTGTGTAGCTTACACACATGCGAGGGGAATTTAGGATCACGAAATCCAGGAGGCTGCACCATGTATATTTCCTCAGTCAACTGACCGTGCGAGGGGAATTCATGCATGCAGATTGAGACCGAAATGGGAAACTGTTTGTAACAAATCGAACATGATGACTTGTGTAGGATTTATGAGTGAGTGGATCATAACAATAATAAGCAGATTGTGACAAAGAATAGCCCAAGAAAACACAAGGAATAGATCGTGGTTGAATTTTGGAGGTATTATATGGTCTTAACCATGGGTAACACAAGCAATTGAATGGATGTAGTTTATTATAATTAGGTGGAGTGTGATAAAGCTTCTCATACGGCGTAGCAAACTTAATAGCAGAATTAGGGAGTCTGTTAATAAGGTACGCTGCCCTCTGAAAAGCATATGACCAGAATGACCGAGGTAATCCAGAATACTGAAGAAGAGCAAGACGAGTATCCACAATATGACGATGACGACGTTCAGCCAAGCCATTATGCTCAGGAGTGTGTGGGGGTGATGTGTAATGAGAAATCCCATGCTGATTCAGATAGGACCGTAATTTAATATATTCGCCACCATTTTCGGAGAATAGAGATTTAATAGAATAATCAAAAATCTTTTCAACGAGGCGGTGAAAGTGGGGAAACACCACTGACACATCTGATTTATTTTCAAGGGGATATAACCAAATGTATCTGGTGAAATAATCCACAAAAATGACATAGTATCGAAAACCATCAATAGATATGTCCGCCGTACTCCAATAATAGCATGACATATTTAGACGATTTGTAATATTATCAATTATGTATAAATCCCCCATAATCCTCTTGTAATTGTTGGGATTGGAAAATTCTTCTATTCAATATCAAGAACAGAATTACAATAGGAGAAGCAAACTCTCACACTCAACTATTACAAAAAAAACCAATCCTCACCGATACACTTCTACATTAAGTGTATTTCACTCTTCACACACTTTTCTCACTTTCTAAACTGATACTATGAACAACAATGGAGCACTCTATTTATGGGGCTGGTTTGGAGACATGAGGAAGTTGCATCCAAGCTTCCTAGTTATCTCCATATCTTCTCCCACACCTATTTGTTGGAGAGCTCTTTCCAAGAAGGTGCCTCCATGTTAAGGTGTCTCTTGGCAACTTCCAAGAAAGAAGGTGGAAGATACCTACAAATCTCCCCCTCCACCTTTTTCTTTATTTCTCTCGTTCCTGCGGTGCTCGCTGGCTCCCCCTCGCTGGCAACAAGTATCCATTCGGATGTGGAGTATTTTCTTTGTGGAACTATGCCTCGCATAGAATGTCGAACATGAATACCTTCAGATTCGTCTTCAGATGAAGGCTCCCCCTGCTGAGGAATATCATCACTGTGAGTATCATCATCACCTGCTGAACCATCACTCTCGTGTTCAGTAGAATCATGCATCTCCTCGTCGCTGAGAGGAATGTTTGATGATACAGGCACTTCGTCTTCTGGAGTATGTTGTTGGCGGATTATTGGAGCACACCCATGAAACTCATTTTCATGAAATACAACATCTCTGCTTCGAATAACTTTCTTCACTTCGGGATCCCACAACCGGTATCTGAATTCTTCATCTCCATAGCCGATGAAGATACATGGGTTTGATTTGAGATCAAGCTTCTGTCTCAACTCCTTGGACACATGTGCAAATGCCTTGCACCCGAACACTTTCAAGTGAGAGTAAGAAACATCTCTTCCTGACCATTTCTTCTCTGGCACTTCAAAGTTTAAAGGAACAGAAGGTGACCTGTTTATAAGATAACAAGCTGTCAGCACAGCTTCACCCCAAAATGGCTTAGGTAGCTTAGCCAGACTCAACATGCAACGAACTTTCTCCATAATGGTCCGATTCATTCTTTCGGCTACACCATTGTGTTGCGGAGTTCGTGGAATCGTCTTCTCATGTCTGATTCCATATGCGGCACAATATGCTGAGAATTCTCGGGAAGTTTACTCTCCTCCATTGTCTGAACGCAGACACTTCAGCTTCTTCCCTGTTTCTCTTTCTACCATGGCATGAAATGATTTGAATCGATCAAACACTTGATCCTTACGATTTAAACAGTAGGCCCATACCTTTCGTGACTCCTCTTCCATGGGTCCACATACATCAGAGTGGACAAGACTGAGTAACTCTGTATGGTTCTTCTTGGTAGAAGTGAAGGAAACCTTGTGTTGTTTCCCAAATAGACAGTGCTCGCATGAATCTAGGGCAACACCTTTGCCCATGGAAATGACTTCCTTCTTTGCAAGAGTTGTCAATCCCTTCACGCTCAAGTGACCTAACCTCCGGTGCCACAAGTTTGGTGATATCTCTTCTTCAACAGCATTGAGACTCGGATGACACAACTTTGCATGAGTTTTATAAAGAGTGCCACAAATATGGCCTCTTACAACAACCAAGGAACCTTTAGATAGCTTCCACGTACCTTCTTTGAATCGGTTAAGATATCCTTGTTGATCCAGAGCTGTACCGGAGATAAGATTCAATCTAAGATCCGGAACGTGTCGAACATCTTTCAACACAAGTGCGCATCCGACATTGGTTATTATGTGCACATCACCAATGCCAACAATCTTCGAGAAACTGGTGTTTCCCATCTTCACAGCTCCAAAGTCTCCGGACTTATAAGTTGTGAATAAGTTCTGGTGTGGAGTGGCGTGAAATGATGCGGCTGTATCAATCACCCACTCAACATCATGAGTGCCTACGTGTAAACATTCTTGTTCACCATGTGTAACAAGACACACGTCTGATGACAAACTAACAATGGTCTCACCATCTTCTTGGCTAGTATTTTGACTCGTCTGTGGCTTCTCTCGTAGAAACTTACTACAATCTCTTTTCCTATGTCCATAATTACTACAGTAATTGCAATATCCTTCGAACCAAGTATTGTTTTCAAAGGACATACCTCTCTCTTGTGATCTTCCGCAAACTTGAGAATTTCCTCTACTTTGACCTTGACCTCTACCTCGACCTCGACTTCTTCCTCCATTTCTGCCTCCCCCTCGTCTGTTAGTTTCTGATATGAGGACATATGATTGTTCCGTCCCGGCTTCCTTTCTTCGGGCTTCTTCATTCATCAGGGCATCTGTGACCATCTGCATAGTCACCTTCCCATTTGGAGTAGAATTACTGAGAGTGACAACAAGAGTCTCCCAGTTGTCAGGTAGAGAGCTCAAGAGTAGTATCACCTGCTCTTCATCTTTGAGAACCCATCCGGTGGTGCTCAACTGATTCACAAGATCCTGGAATTGACTGGTGTGTTCTGACACCGAAATACCCCCACGTAATTTGTGGTTTACTAATCTCCTCATTAGTAACGTCTTATTTCGGGCGGTTTTTGCTTGATACATGCTACCAAGCTTCTCCCATAGTGTGTAAGCACTTTGTTCTAGAGCAACATGGTGGAACACACTATGATCTATCCATTGTCGAATTTGTGCGACAGTTTTTCGATTCATTTTTGTCCATTCTTCATCCGTCTTTTTATCCGATTTCACACCATTATTATCAAGAGGATCCGCTAAATCCCTCAAATTTAGCAAATCCTCCATCCGAGGCTTCCACATATTGTAGTTTGTGGATGTGAGCGCAATCATGGTGTCCGACGATGATTTATCCATAATAAAACGCTCTATATATCTCGTACCTTATTTTCGAAGCCGAATTTAGACAAACGGAGCTCACCGTTGGATCCGGAATGGCCGAAAATGGTAAGAACCGGTCTGACCTCGTCCAAAACTGGTCTAGAAACAGGTGAACCGGCCTCCAGCAGGCGAATGACGTGGCTCTGCACCCTCGCTGACGTGGCGATGACGTGTAGCCACGTGACGTCTGACGTGGCTCACAGCGGACGGCTCGGGTGGATGACGTGGCGGATGACTCGGCACCACGTGTCGCTGACGTGGTCCAACATGGCGACGACGTGGCAGCTGACGTGGATCGTCTTCTTCCTCTAGACTGCGTGATGACGCAGTGATGATGCAGGCAGTTTTCCGACGGCGCGTACGGCCTCTTCAGGTGGCCAAAAAAATCCCCAAAAATACCAGATTTCTCGTCTCGCCGAGACGAATCTAACGGTATGATCAGATCCTGATTCCGAGCAACTTGAAAAATCACGATTTTCTAACCTGTATAAATTTATCTGAAAATGAGAAAACAGTGTATGGAAACTCAACCTCGCTCTGATACCACTTATTGGGATTGGAAAATTCTTCTATTCAATATCAAGAACAGAATTACAATAGGAGGAGCAAACTCTCACACTCAACTATTACAAAAAACCAATCCTCACCAATACACTTCTACACTAAGTGTATTTCACTCTTCACACACTTTTCTCACTTTCTAAACTGATATTATGAACAACAATGAAGCACACTATGTATAGAGCTGGTTTGGAGACATGAGGAAGTTGCATCCAAGCTTCCTAGTTATCTCCATATCTTCTCCCACACCTATTTGTTGGAGAGCTCTTTCCAAGAAGGTGCCTCCACGTTAAGATGTCTCTCGCCAACTTCCAAGAAAGAAGGTGGAAGATACCTACGGTAATTACTCCCCTTCCTTAGATACTACCATTATTCTTGTATAAATTGTGGTAATACAAAGATTTCCTCTCAAGGGATTTTGTTCAATCTCCTATATGGTACTACCTCCGTCCCTTAAAACTTTGTCAAAGTTGACCGGCACGGAGAATAATAAAGTAAAAACTGTGTGGTTGAGATTTGTGCAGAGGAGAGAGAAAAAACAAAAACCACAAAATAGTTGATTAAAAGAGAAAGTGTCAAAGTTTTTTGGGACATCCTAAAAAGGAAAGATGACAAAGTTTTAAGGGACGGAGGGAGTATCAGACTAGGTCGATACTACTCCCTTTCCGCCATGGCTGGTGAATCCTCCACGCCAAGAGCAACCATTCATCCTGCCCTCACCATTAACAACATTAAAACTCACATCCCAATCACACTTGATCTCAAGGAAGATGAATACTCATCCTGGGTTTTCCTGTTTGAGCTTCTTCACCTTGAGGCACAAAACCTCATGTTTCTCATAAACCAGGATCCTGCTCCGAGCACCATAGATGTACCCACCGCAAACAGCTTGATGCATTGGTTCGACAGTGGATGTTCTCCACCATGTCAAAGGACTTGATGCTCATAGTTCTCAAATATGGGAAAACTGCCAGGGATTTTTGGGAGCACCTCAAAACTCTGTTCCAGGACAATAAAGGGACTCGTGCAGCAACTCTGGAGTAAATTTGTCAATCTCAAGTTCACTGATTGTTCCGACGTTGACGATTACTGTGATAAGCTCAAAGCTATCTCCGACAAACTCCAGGATCTCAAGTTTCCCATGGATGACAAGCGGTTAGTCATACAGCTCGTCAATGGCCTCCCTCCAGAATATGATACTGTAGCTGCGCTCATCTCACAGACCAATGAGACCATTCCATCTTTTGAGGCGGCTCGGTCACAGCTCCGTACAGAGGAACAACGCCGGGTTCACCAGTCTTCTGCCGCTCCGCCCACTGCCTTGGCATCTCAAGAACCTGCTGTCCCTGCTGCTTTCACCGCTCCATCACAAAATCAGGCTCCCACTCCTGCTTTCACCGCTCGCCAAGCTCCGCTGCGTTTCTCGAATCCCATAGGAGGACGTCACAATCGCTCGAACGGTCGCCACCCATCTGGATCTACTCCAGCCGGCACCTTCGGTTCTGGTCTCCCGTCGCCTCCTGCGGTTGCTCTAGTTGCTGCTCCTCTGATTTCCGGCTATCCATGGCACCCTTACTGGGCCGTTCCGCCTTGCCCCTATCCTACGGCGGCGGCACCCTTCTGGTCGGGACCTTCTGCTCCAGTCTCTCGCCCGCAGATTTCGTCGAAGGGGAAGGCTTCACACTTGTCAAATACGAGCCAGGCCCTTATTACCCCAACCACTGAATTTTTAAAGCCCGAAGATATAGTAGAGGCCTACAGCTCTTTATCTTTAAATCAGCCAGATGACACATTTTATATGGACACGGGAGCTACATCACATATTACGGCGAATCCAGGTACCTTGTCTTGTGTTTTTAATAATAGCAATGTACGATCAATTTTAATAATTGCTCGTGGTTCCAAAATTTTAAACTTACCCAACCGCACCCTTCAATTTAAAGATGCCCTTGTCGCCCCTAATATTATAAAAAATCTTGTATCTGTCCGTAAATTCACTACTGATAATCATGTTTCTGTTGAATTTTACTCATCTGGTTTTTCTGTGAAGGACCTGACTACAGGGACCCCCATTATGAGATGCAATAGCTCCGGGGAGCTTTATCCTATAACCACCACTGCAGTGTCACCCGAACCTTCACCTATCTCTCTAGCTGTTATGTCACCGGAACTTTGGCACAAGCTTCTTGGCCACCCTGGAAAGGTAGTCTTAGATTTACTCCGTAATAAATCTTTAATTAAATATAATAAAGACAGTGAGTTAAAACTATGTCACTCTTGTCAAGTTAGCAAACATGTTCGTTTACCTTTTTATTCGTCTGGTTCAATTCTAATACCACTGCTCCTTTTGATATTATTCATAGTGACTTATGGACTTGTCCCATTAATAGTAATACTGGTTTTCGATATTATCTCATTTTATTAGATGATTTTACTAATTATCTCTGGGTTTATCCACTTAAAGTTAAATCTCAAGTTTTTGGAAAATTTCTAGAATTTAATTCTTTTGTTCGTACTCAATTTGAAAAAGACATCAAAGCTTTTCAGTGTGACATGGGACGAGAATTTGATAACTCTTCGTTTCACAATTTTGCCAAAGAACGTGGTTTTGTATTTCGCTTTTCTTGTCCTCAAACTTCACCACAAAATGGTAAAGCTGAACGAATGATTCGTCGTATTAATGACATAACTCGCACCCTCATGACACACCCCTCCATCCCACCTAAATATTGGGTTGACTCTCTTCACATGGCGGTTTATCTCCATAACATTTTACCAACAAAAACACTATCCTTCCGCTATCCTGTTTTAGCCCTGTACCATCGTCAGCCCACATATGATCATCTTCGTACCTTTGGTTGTCTCTGCTATCCCAACCTAAGTTCTACTACCCCCCACAAATTGGCTCCCGATCCACTTGATGTGTCCAGACAGGAAAGTTGGACGTGGTAAGCTTGATAGGAAAATGAGTTGATGCCGTAATAGGCACAACGGGCGTGGTTGGCGTGATAGCCATGGATGGATCAGAAAAAAATTAAGCTCGTGAGAGGAAGGTTCTTGATACCATAAAAAGATATATTAATGAGAGTATATTGATCTGTAAATCACATATGTATGTACATGTGTTTATATAAGACCTGGAGCTATTGTGATAGAGCCAACTAACTAACTGTCGCTAGGCTAGGGATAATATCAAAGTACTTGGGATAATACCAAGATTATCTACACGTGTGTTACATTAATATATACATTAAATAATGATAAATACAATTATGCTCCAATATAACATACCACTCTGTTCTCGACTTTTTATTCTTATTTGGAAATAATTAATCCTGGACACATCATCATATGTCGAGAAATGCTGAATAAATTGATTGCTTGGATGAGATTTTGTTCACTTTGTTACTTCACCCTCTATCAAACATATTCCAATTAAAGTTAGATTAGACTTTCAACAAAATGATCAAAAATGGATGGATGGTTGTGTTTAAACAAAACAATCTACTCCGTATTTACTTTTGATTACAAAACATGTGAAACAAAAATACACGAAATGGTAACATTATTACTATTTTTTAAATAGATGTAGGATCTTTAAAAAAACTAGAATCTAGGAGAATGCTGGATTACTCAAATTTGCTATAACTGCCCCACAATCTGAATCTAAAAGTGAAAATGAAGAAATGAAGTTTGTAAGTTCTGAGAGTGCTTTATATGAAGTGCCTTCATCTTTCTTAAAGCAATCATCAAGTTTCTCCTTTATTTCCATGACATTCTTCTTCAACTCTTTCCTCTCATCTCCCACCATGAGTCTTCTGATAGTATCTGCAATGACACCTCTCTCCATCTTTTCCAACTCCAATCCAACCTTCCATTTGTGGACCAATAACCTGGCATTGACCAATTGGTCAGCAAAGTGCGGTCTACAAATCAATGGGATGCCTTCTCCAAGACACTCCAAAGTAGAATTCCAACCACAATGGCTCCAAAATCCACCCACAGAGCCATGAGCCAATACATCCTTCTGCGGTGCCCATTTCACTACCCGTCCTTTGTTAATAGTTCTTTTCTTGAAGTCTTCAAGGAGCTTCTCTTTCCCTTTCAGAGCATATAGATCATTCAATAAACAAACAGACTCATGCATTAAATGTTACGGAGTATATTCTAATTAAATTACTCGTCTCATTTTAACGTTTGAGTTGTCTCTTAATTACCTCACATCTTCTTAGGAAAATAATCTTGAGTTAAATGAGCAATAATCTTAAGGGAGCAATTAATTTTTACCCTGGGAGCATTTCTCAAGAGTGAGTCGATAACCAGATACTAGACCGCTTCCTCAAGGGAGCTAGTAAAATATAAAGATACAAACTCACCTTCGATTGAACCGGGACGGATTGCCCACACGAACGGTTGGTCGCTATCGGCCAAACCCCATTCAATCTCTTCAACATCACTTCCATTAATCCCGGCTAAGCTCCCGGATATGCTTACGAAGAGGACGGATTGAGGAGCTTGCGTATCCAACCATGTGAGGCAGCTTTCATCTTCTTCTATCAAGCTAGTTTTGCTAGCTGGAGAAATCTTGTGAAATGGGCCTATTGGGAAGATGGGGACTTTGTAACGTTGTTGAAGCCTTGACAACAATGTATGCTCAAGAACCTCCACTGTGTTCCATATTATGGCCACAGAAGATCTTATATCGTTTGTAGTCAACATGAAACGCCTTACTTCTTCCTTCTCTAGATGGGTGTAAATATCTTGATACCTCAAGGGATCAAGGTCCGGAATCGAATCCTGTAGCCTTGACTCTGTAAAATGAATGCATTATATGAACTACACTTTTCTCTTTAAACTTTTTTAGCATTTAAAATTAACAGCTAAATATTTGGAGCATAAAGATGTTTATTATTTGGAGCATATATGATGATGCTTTTTTGGAGATTACTAGATTTTTAAAGTATCTTCCTCATAATTAAAAGCTACATGACTAGATTTGTAAAATATTATCCATTTGATTGGTCAGTCCTATCACTTGCAATTGTAAATCAGGAAAGATTTAGCATAACTAAAAAGAAAAGGTTTAAACTATGTACCTGGAACTGGCAAAACAGAGTCTGCATTTTCAAGAATATGGAGCAGAGCAAGCAAGTAAGCAGCGTTGAAGGGGCGTAAAACGATGGAGGGCAGATTGAGAGCAGCAGCGACTTGGTCAACAAAGAACATGATGTTGTCATAGATGATACAAGAAACCACATCCCCTTCCTCTTCCAGATACTCCTGGAGGGGTACCCTACAATTCTCATTCATGGCATAGAGCATTTCCAGTCCTCTGCCTCCAGTTATACTATCACTGGCGTCCAATCCATCTGCCAAGCCGTGGAAGGAGAAGTCAGGGTGGTTTGAAGGGTCAGGTGCCTTGTATTCAGTGTGAGCGACTATGATGGCGAAGCCCTTTGAGTGAAGGATATGTCCCAGTTGCAGCATAGGGGTTACGTGCCCTTGGAAGGGGGCAGGCACCATAACCACACAGTCCCGCCGCCGCCTTTCAGCTCCGCCATCCATTTCCGCCTCTCTTTCTTTTCCGGCATTATTAGAAAGCGTCGTGCATTAATTTATACGACCATGTACACAACCTTCCTTGTACACGCCATATACACATCATGTTTGTGAAACTTTTGTTTTGTCTGTGAACCTGGTTCACAGACAATATTTTGTTTGTGCAAAACATTGTCTGTAAATTGATGTCCACGTACAAAAAAATAGCCTTCCCAGACATAAGTGTGTACAAAGTGTGTATAAAAGTGTGTACAAACATCATTTTTTTAATTTATAAGTCAGCCGGGCTGCAAAACAAAAACTTCCAGAACAGAGTGTACGTACGTTACTGGCTAGTTTGTACAAAGCTAGTTTCTCATTTCTCTTTGTTTAAAAAAGTTTGAAAATGAGACAATCTTGGTGGTCGCACTTAATATATCTTTCTACGGTGAATTCCTTATAGTTTATTCTCACTTCAATATTTTTAATGCATTTATCATACAAATAAAAAGCTTAAAGATATTCTCAATTTTTTTAAGTACTTGCACTCAAATTAAATGAATACTCATTAAATAATGCAACTAAAAAATTACTAAAAGTTAAATAATACTCCGTACTTGAATAAAAAGAACACAAATCATTACTCAAGTAATTTGAGTAAAAAATGAAAGGAACAACAAATTAAAAAAGTAGTAAATCTCTTTATTGTTCCGTACTCCGTGTATTTTACCCATCCAAATTAATAATTTTTGGAAGAGGCAACTTTATGTAGCACGGAAACTTTGGAGAAAGAGTACATTTCTACTTCCGAAACTCTGTGGAAATTCATTGGAAACTTTTCAAACATGCGTTTTTTAGCAAAAGTTGATATTTCACGTTTCCCACTAACGGATCGAGCATGGGGGAAAATTGGGGATGCGCCCCCGCCCCCCTCCCCCCAACTTTTCTTTCTAAGTATTTTACCCCCAAATTTTAATATATACTACCTTTGGAACATTATGACTTCCCCACTTTCCTTTTTCGTTCGTAACAAAAATATCTTTCCATTTTTAAATCATCTCACCATACTCTCAATAATTTTGAAAATAGTACATTATTACAACTACTTTTTTGGATTTATCACTAATGTCATCACATTATTTCACTCTCTTTCCATCATACTCTCAATGATTTATATTTTCTTTCACTATTCATAATCAGATAATTTACCTACTTTTGATTGTGAACGTCTTTACGTTACAAAGGTATGAGTAGTATTTATTTGTATGTATTTTTTTACACTGTCACCTCCCCTAACGGGAATTCCTACGTTCACCGTTGCAGTTTCCCATTTTCTCATTAAATTCACATTTCCAGGGACGGATCCAGGATTTTGAGTCAAGGAGGGCAAAAAATTTCATTAGTGTAGGAGATAAAAAAATCACTAGTGTAGCGGGACGAAATTTTTCTCTAGTGTAAGGCTCTGCGGCTATTTTACTTCAAAAATATTTCATTAATACATGCATTACGATATTTAAATCTATATATTACATTCTAAGTTTAGACAATGATAAAATAACTTTAATTTTATAATTGAAGTGCTCTAGAAAAAAGTATTGATACATCAAAGCGTAAGAAATGGAAAATCAAAGGAAAATAATATAAAAATAAAAAAGGATATATAACATTTTATTTAAATACAAAGAGTTTATAAGGTACACATTCACCAATACTTTTAAAATAACTTCAACATTGTTTAACTACATGAGTCTTATAGAAATAAAAAATTGAGTTTTGAATTACAATTTTTGTCTACCATGGAGGGTGCTCATAAGTCACAAGGACTTTTTTAATATTACAATAGTATGTATGATATTATTATTTTAGAATAATATTATATTGTTAATTCATATATATAGTGCATATTATATTTGTATTAATGCTAAAATATTTAAAGTTTATTATCTATGCAATAAAGTCTTTTTAGAACATAAGAAGTAAATGAATTGTGTAATTTAATGTCAATAAATATTTATAATTTTGATTCACTTCACATGATCTAAAAACTCTGTAGGTAGAGTGTCTGGTATTTAATATCGTTTGATATATATTTTTCAAAATTATATTGTTTACTATTTATCTAATAAAGATAATTAAACATTACAAAATTAATAATTTTTATACAATAAGTATCATAAATCTTAAATAATGAGTTGTTGTATTGTTTATTTAAGTTATGTAAATGATTTTAGACGTTCCTTCTTTTAAATCTCCAATTAAGTATTACATTATGTAAGATTATATATTAATTTTAAAAACTAAAAGTTAAGGAGGGCAATGTTCAAAAAAAAAGTTAAGAGGGACAAATGTTATTAAAGTATCAAAATTTTACAAAAACATTACATATATAGTACTCCCTCCGTTCCTAAATAAACTTCCAACTTTCCTTTTTCATCCGTTCCAATTAAATTTCCACTTTCTTTTTTTGGTAAAGAATTTGTGGTTCACAACATTTCTTACACATTTCTCTCTCCTCTGCACAACTCTCAACCACACAATACACACTTTTCTTAAATTGTGTGCCAATGTGGGTTGGAAGATAAAATAGGAACGGAGGCAGTAGAAAATTTTGAAAGTCCAAGGGGGGCGATCGCACCCCGCGCCCCCCTAAATCCATCCCTGCAGATTTCCGTACAACATAGTGGACCGTGTTCTCTAGAAGTTGTTTATCCTATTCAAAACAGGCCCACATTGATAATGCAAGGGTCGTCGATCGTACCCGCACGGGTAGCTCAGTTGGTTCAGTGGTGGGAAATTTGGACCAAGTGACCAAGGTTCGAAACCCGCAGCGGCCGTGTGGAGGTCACAGAACCTGAAATAAGGCTGGACCTCTGATGCGCACGGGAAAAAGGCCTACTATCATTGAGCCGACTGAGTCACCGTGATTAACATCCTCCCAAAAATCATGTCGGGTCGGGGTATGGGGGGTCCTGGGGTGGGAGATTCCACCTTTTGGACCAAGGGTTATCGATCGTCTTTTATGACTTCACAATTATGCCACGGCAAGCTGTCACCGCATGTGCCACTACGACTTGGTGGGAGTATAATAATGCAAGATGGTAATCATGGTATTGCAAAAGCTAAAGAATCGTTTTATTATTTTATTCACCTTCATTATTGAGACAATGTGTATGTACACGGACTACACAGTGTACAAGTTTTTTTTTTTAATTCTTTCAAATTAAACTCAATTGCTCATCTTTTCTAAGATGTGTATGAAGCGACTATACAAAGGTAATACGTACTACATATGTACATGAATCTTATATACTTCATCCGTTCCATAAAAGTTGCAACATTGAAATTTTTGCACTATTCACATAACTTAGTTTGACTACAATGTTCTAATAATATATATAATAAAAATATTATGTATAAAATTTTAATAAATTTATATTAATGTAAATTTCCGATATATCAACTTTTTTTAATGTTTACTAATACGTAAATAAATATAATTACAGTCAAAGTTGTGCGTTGGCAAACGTGAAAGTCAAACTGGTGCAACTTTTATGAAACGGAGGATAGTATGTTGAAACGTAGTAATGAAAAATGGTAAATTGATTCTCTTGATATCTTAAATTGAAATTGTTACGTCAAATTTTATAATAATACGTAGTATGATCATTATGGATAAGAGATGGAGTATGCATATGAAAAACTAAAATTGAAAATATTTAATATCATATATTAAAAGTGTCACTAACATAATAGTCAGAGAACTTAAAGTTTCAAAAACTCTTTGAAATTTGCCGGAATTTTGGCCGGAAGGACGAGGGGTGGTGAGGGGATAATGGTCAAGGATTCAATGTGGACAATCTTAAAGTAATGGACTAAATGTGGAAGTGATATAATAGTCACGGGACCAAAAGTGGATTTTTTCCTATAATTTATCTTCGTAAGTATCGCTCCAAACCCCATTGTCACAAATCTCATAATCAGTGTTTGGCTTCTCTTTCAGGTGTTGCTAATTGTGTTCATTTTGAAAATTTTAATACATCAGATTATCAGAAAGATTTTTTTTAATAAACAGATTATCAGAAAGATGATGACCATAGTAATCAAAATTTTAATTAATAATATAATGTGTTAAAATTACTTATTCATTATTAAAATTACATAGTAATTTTTTAAAACAATATACGGAGTACTTCTTTATTAATATAATGTTACTTATAGTATATACGTATTATTAAAAAGATATACATCTCAACATCCCGTGCATCGCACAAGTACTATACTAGTTTGAAGAAAAACAACGTACACAAAAAGTCATCATTAAAATTTACGTTATTGTCAACGCAGGTTTACAAAATGTCTAAAGCAAAGGAATCTAAGCCTGACTTGATAAAAAGAAGAACCAAATTATTGGAAATATATGATGATGTTTGGGAGAGTTAGAGATTGATTTCAAAATGATATACGGAGTAATTGTTTGAAATTTGCTCTTGAATTATTTATAATACTAAAATTTGAGACATTTTATTATTTCTAAGTACCTTTGTTTATTTAAATCGCGAGTTATACTTTTAATCCCTAATTATTATGTGTGTGACACATTTGCTACTCCAATTTTAAGTATCCATTTTTAGTCCGTCAACTTTTGTGCGAGAAAAACTTAGTCTTCAACTTCAAATTTTTCCACACATAGTCCCATCAGTAATGTTAAATTGACATTTTTAGTACAGACATTATGATTTTGAAATAATAAGTGAGGATTGAAAATGTCACTTTGATAAAAGTTTAATGATCAAAAGTGCTACTTTTATGATAGTTGATCATTTAAATATATAAGTAGTAAAATTTTAAGGACGGGTACTATATCTTTCACATAACAGTTGAAAAACTAAAATTGAAAATATTTAATATCATATATTAAAAGTGTCACTAACATAATAGTCAGAGAACTTAAAGTTTCAAAAACTCTTTATATCATTGTCTAAGAATACACTATGACAAAAACATGTACACGGGGCACAGTTTGAGATTTAGATTTACATCAACACAAAGTACCGTATCGGCGTATCGAAAACGTTCTCGTATCAGATATTCTATTATACCCGTATCGTACGTTTCCGGGCCGTATATGTAATTTATTAAAAGTTTCCAACTCTTTTGTAAATTATTTTAAAATTTTGGATACCCGTATCCTGATGGATACATGTATCAATTACTTTATTAAAAAACAAAAACACCCAAAACTTACACAATAAAATTCTTAAAAAAATGAAAAACTAAAATAAAATACTTTACTTTAATCTCGCACACAAATAAGTATATGGATGACAAAAAAAAATGTGGGGTGTTGGTGGATATGACTTTAGGAGCATGGAGGCCAGGATAAAGGAGGACTTGAGTTCGCCAACTTTTCCATCGATGAACCAGAAATGGAGACCTTTTTTAAAGATGATGTTATCTCCAAAAATTAGCAGTTTCAGTGGAAATATGTATTAGAACATTTAATTTATTTATTTATTAGAGTTTTCATCTACATTATCCAAGAATTTTGAGTACTTGCACTTTTAATTTCAAGCAATGTATGTGCACTTTCGTGCCTCAACGGGGAGTAGTAATGTACCAAAGGTGTTTAGATTTTTTTAAAAAGGACATCTCTTAGTTTAGATTTTTTCAATGAAAGACATTGGGTGACGTTGAAGTGAAGCATCACAGTATCACATTATCATTATAATGAACTATTTTGTTACTACTTTGACTCTTTCCATCCTAAAATGAAGGCTCATTTCAGTTTAGAATGCTTAAGTGAGGGTTGAGAAATCTCTTTCATAGTATTATCTTAAGTAGTAGACCTAAAAACCCGTGTTAGTTCACAAAGGATCATATCAAAATAGAAAAGAAGAAAAGAAGAACAAGAAAGACAAAAGAGAAAAACGTTCCCACATCAGTAGTCAATTGACTAACGTCGCACCGAGCAACAAACATCTCCGGAATCATGGGGGGCATTCGAGCAGAAAGAAGACGCACAAAGAAGAAGCGCAGGCAAAAAGATGATGCGCCAATTTCTTCTTTTTCACCATCACAGACTTCATCAGAATCATCTGACTCGGAAATTGATCGGCACAGACATAGACGGAAAACGGCGATGGTCTGAGAGAAGGAATCGGGACAGCGCAGCGTACGATGGACTGGGAGAAGTTGATAATTAATAATTTCAAAAATACCCGGATGTACGGTGAGGTCCGTACATCTGGGTGTACGGTATAATTTGCGTGACAACATCTTGAAATCAATTTAAATCAATTTAAAAATTACTACTATTGGTAGCCCATGACAGCATCTCCCGTAAGACAGTAGAAAAGGATGCGACTAAAACAGATCTGGAATGAGAAAAAAACTGAAGAAAAAAAGAGTTGTAATCACCCACCAGTTTCGCTACAAAAAAATCAAGGTTTTGCCGCCCAGCTAATGAAAAGAAAGTATTAGAAGAAGGGAAGAAAAGGGAGAAGAAGAAGGGGAAGAAGAAGAATGAGGGGAAGAAGATGAGGAGGGGGGAGATACAAGCATACCTGTAATTAACTGATGTCGGGAGAACAACTTACCACCTGATCCGTCGCTGGAGATGTGGAAGTTGGTGGGATGACACCCCATCTTCGAGGGCCCCTAACACCGACCAGACAGTTAGATGGGAGGATGTAAATTGAACTTTAATCACAAGCTAATAGATAAAGAGTAAAACTCTAGCCCTGATAATTGCAGAGGCCCTGTGCTTGAAATTGTAGAGAAGAGATGAGAAGGGAGGGAAATCTAAGGGTATAATTGGGAGAAGAAACCGTACACCTAATTAATAACTTATATTTAGGGAATAAATGAACATCAAGTATTTTGGATCTTTCTTATTGTTTTAGTCCTATTTAGGAGAATTTTTAACAATTTATCACATCCTTCACAATAGCTCTTATTATTTTTGCATTAGTTAAAAATCTCAGCATTCCTTCTCTGAGTAATATGTCATTACCTCTGTGGTATACTTTATAGTAATTCTTCCTACCAAGATGTTGTTCATACGTAACTCTTTTTTAGAGAAAAAAGTGTTACTCTTATTTTGAAATATTGCATTATCTGTTTCGCTATCTACCACTTTAGATTACAGTGTATATATATTAATGCTGGAGAGGCCAAAAGTATATATAGAAAATGCTCAGTAATAGGACTAAAAGATATACTTCGTACAAAGTTCAATATTAGGACTATGAGATATGTATGTCTTCCTCCAAATAGGACTTATTAATTTAGTCTTATTAAAAGAATAAATTGATAAAAAAATCTCAAAATATTAAAAGAAATAAAACAATAATAATGCTATTGTTGAACTTTATTCTTGTTTAAGTCCTATATAAGAAATTTTCTCAAAAACGAAAAATAATCCAATATTATTAAAATGCACGTGTTTGAATTTCCTAATATATAACTAAACATGTTTTTTCCTGTCGTATGACTTCATTGATAATCAAAGACCGGATTTATGAAAAGATGAAAGTGGCTAAAGGAACTTTAAAATGCATGGATTTGGATGATAACATTAATCGACATAGAAAAAGACATACTCCGTATATAGTTCAAATAAGTTACAACCTACAATTGCGGTTTGAACTTCTGGTTTTACAAACATACATGAAATCATGCTTTACTTAGTTATATGTTTAAGCAAAGCTAACTGCATTTATTAGAAATTTAAATACATGATTTAATTTAGACTATTAGGAAAGTGGGATCCTTGAAAACCAGGAGCACTTGGTAGAGATTGTTACTCAAAATTGCTAGCTATGACTGCCGCCCTCACCTCACAAAGGGAATTTAAAACTGATTGAGGAAATGAAGTTTGTTAATTCATTCACTGCTTTGTTTGAAGTGCCTTCCTCTTTCTGGAAGCTGTCATCAAGTTTCTGCTTCATATCCATGGCATTCTTCTTCAGCTCTTTCCTCTCATCTCCCACCATAAGTCTTCTAATAGTCTCTGCAATAACGCCTCTCTCCACCTTTTCCAACTCCAACCCGACCTTCCACTCTTGGATTAAGAGCCTAGAGTTCACCAATTGATCAGCGAAGTGTGGTCTACAAATCATCGGAACGCCTTCACCGAGACTCTCTAGCGTCGAGTTCCAACCGCAATGGCTCCAGAATCCACCCACTGAGCCATGAGCCAATACTTTCTTTTGTGGAGCCCATTTCACTACTCGTCCCCTTTTTCTAGTTCTTTTCTCAAAGTCTTCTATGAGTCGTTCCTTCTCTTCCAAACCTATTAAAAGTTAAATCGTCCCACCACACTCATGAAGTATAGAAATACAATTTACATATAAGTTCTTACACTACTCATATTAGATACTCCGTATTTTAGTATTGAATCTTGTTAAAATATTTGTTCATATAAGATTCTGGTCCACTCATTCTAAATACTATCGGTATGTGGTAACCTCTTCTATCATATTCAACACCATTTGTGATTTGACAAATGATTTAGTACGGTCTATTTGAGGTGGCTTGCCTCATTTATCTACCCATCAAGTCGTCCAATCCGGTTTAAGTTAAAACGTGGGTAAAAGTATTTGTCACACATCAAAAAATATAAAAACTAAACCAATAAAATAATGTACAATTATGCATCAAACATAAAATTTCAAACTGACCCTCAATTGAACTGGGCTGGATTGCCCATAGGAAAGGCTGGCTGCTATAAGCCAATCCCGAGGCGATCTCTTCAAAGTCCGTTTCATTAATGGCAGCTAAGCTCCCACATACGCTTAGAAAGATGACAGATTGAGGAACTTGATCATCCAACCATGCGAGGCAGCTATCGTCTTCTTCGATCAAGCTAGTTGTTCGGCTAGTCGGGGCTATCTTATGCAATGGACCTATTGGGAAGATGGGCACTTTGTAATGTTGTTGGAGTCTTGACAACCATGTGTGTTCAAGATCCTCCATTGTGTTCCATATTATGGCCAGAGAAGACCTTATATTGTTTGAAGTCAACATGAAACGTCTTACTTCATCGGATTGTCGAAAGACGATCGGCATATCTTGGTATCGTATGGGATGAAACTCCGGGATTGGATCCTCAAACCTCGACTCCGCAACATGAGTGGATTTGCTACTTTGTTAGTATTGTATTACTTTTAAATTTAAGGTGGAATTAGTGGAAATACTGTCAAATTTGATGGAATAGCAGTCAAAGGGAGAAAGAACAAAGCATAGGAACAGAACATTAAGAACAGAGCATTAAGAACAGAGCATAAGAACAGAGTATATACCTGGAATGGAAGAAAGAGTGTGTTTATGTTTAAGAACATGGAGTAAAACTGGGAAGTAAGCAGCGCTGGAAGGGCGTAACACGATAGAAGGCAGATTGAGAAGAACGGCGACTTGGTCAACGAAGAACATGAGGTTGTCATAGATGATACAAGAAACCACATCTCCCTTCTCTTCCAGGTATTCCTGGAGGGGTACCCTACAATTCTCATTCATATCATAGATGGTTTCTAGTCTCCCTTTCAGGCCTATATCACTTGCTTTTATTATCCCATCTAAGTTTATGCTTAAACTGTGTCCCAAACCTTGGAAGGAGAATTCAGGGTGGTTTGAAGGGTCAGGGACGTTGCATCTGGCGTGGGCGACTGTGATGGAGAAGCCCTTCGAGTGAAGGACGTGTCCCAGTTGGAGCATAGGGGTGACGTGCCCTTGGAAGGGGCTAGGCACCAGAACCACCAAATCCCGCAGCCGCCTTTTGGCTTCGCGCTCCATTTCTGGCTGCTTTTCTTGTAGGAAATTAGTGGTAAATGTCATGCTTTTTTATCTATAAGGAATTGAAGCTTTGCTGCAAAACTAAATCTTTTGTCAGGTGAGTACCTTCCACATCGTTGTAAGGCAATTGTACGTAGTATTTATTACTCGTTAATTTATAGAAGGAAAAAGGGGCAAATAAGCCTACGTATTAACCAAAAAGTGAAATAAGCTTTTATATATTCCCTCCGTCACTAAAAAGATTGCCAAGTTTGACCGGCACGTAGAATAATAAAGTAAAAACTGTGTGGTAGATATTTGTGCAGAGGAAAGAGAAACAACAGGAGCCACAAATTGATTGATTAAAAGGGAATGTGGCAAAGTTTTTTGGACAACCAAAAATGAAAAGTTGGCAAAGTTATAAGGGATGGAGGGAGTAAAAGGCTATGTTCTCCCGTCGTCATTTGGTCAGATTCCGGTGGAAATTTTTTATGCAATTTTTTGAGAATATTATTCATTAAGTCTAGTTTACTCATACCAAATTTCAGCTAAAAATTCAATCGAGAAGACATTCAAATGAATTCTTGAAGATAACTGCGCAGTTAAAAGCGCAGTTATCTTCAAGAATTTATTTGAATGTCTTCCCAATTGAATTGTTAGCTAAATTTTGGTATGAATAAACTAGACTTAATGAGTAAGATTCTCAAAAACTTTCATCAAAAAATTCCACCGAGAACTACCCCAAATGGCGACGGCCGGACAGAACCTCCTATATAAGGGCTTATTTGACATTTTTTGTTACTACGTGGGCTTATTTGCCCCTTTTTCCTTTATAGGAGTTGCAAGGAAAACAATATACTCCCTCCGTCCAAAATTGTTTTGTAAAGTCAATATTTTTTGTCAACCAATAAAAAAGTCAACGTTACTGATCAATAATTAATTCCATTTTTAATAATTAAAATTTATATATTCAGAAACTATATTAAAATCTCTTCGAAGTTATAAACTCCAAACTACGGAGTAGAATATTATTAAAAATTGACATCTTAATTAAGCAAATAAAATGAAACTATTTGACCAAGAAAAATCAAATTTGCAAATCTAATTTTGTAGTTCACCGACCCTATTCTACTACGTGTACGTAGAATATATATGTGGCCAATCTAATTTTGTTTTATTTTAAATTTAACATACTTCGTATTAAACTTTGACATTTCTACGAGTATAATAATAATTAATAGACCTTTCAGAAAAGTCGTTTCGATAATAATAAATTAAATATTAATATGTGTAATGATTAATTGTAATTTAGGTCCCATTAAAAAATGCGCGTTTACTAAAAAATTTAAAGTGTTTTTGCGACTATTATGTCATTGATATTTTTGGTACTCGACTTTGAGTTTTTCACTTTTAGTCCTTCGACTATTGTGAAAAAGACACTTTTGATACTCATATTTGAAAATTTCCACATTTAGTGTTTTGACTTCATAAAAATGTCACTTTAGATCCTTTGAAAACTGTGACATTTTTAATCCTCCACTTATTGTGTCATAAACATAGTAGAAGGACTAAAAGTGTCAATTTGATAATATTCAAGGAATTAAATGCAGAAAATTTTGAAGTCAAAGACTAAAAGCGACTCTCACACAATAGTCGAGGATTAATTAAAAGTGGAAATATTGAAAGTACTAAAAGTGTCACTGACACAATAGTTGAGGGATCAAAAATGGCAAAAACTCAAAATTTAAATCCATTGAAGTCATCAGCTATTAATAGTCTTTTCGTAATTTTTTATTGTGCGCGATAAGTTGTGTAATAATCAAAATAAGTGAGATTGAGATTACTTTTCTGCTTAAATTGGTCGAAACTACCGTAAAAGATCATTTTAGTTACGGAGTACTTTAAATATAATTTTTTAACAATTTAGCAAAATCAGCTAATTCAGCCACTTTAGCCGAAATTTCATGAATTTAGCAAAACAAATCGATTCAGTATTACCAAACGGGCTCATACTCAACATAAATACATTTTAAGTTATCATTTTTATCATTTCCAAATATTGTTTTTCCAATTTTAACATTAACTTCAATACTGATTTAAGAATTATTGAGGAGTTAAATTAATTTTATCATCAACATAATATCGATCGCAGACTTAATATAAGAATTGAACTTAAAATGAGACCGAAAATGATAACGTTAAAACATATCAGAGTGAGGAACGTGACACGCATGATATTGTTTCACAACGTTTTAAACCATTTTAAAATGAATTAGATCGAACATTTTTTGTTTTTGCAACATAGATCGAACAATATTAAACTAGACATGATCATATTATTCATATAATAATCATATGGTATAAAAATTTACTACGTATAAGATTGGACTAATCAAATCGGAATGGACCCTTCTCATGGAAAGACAAAGGGGGACGATACTGAACACTAATGATGATTTCTAGTTTACCAACCTTGCTGTTTTGTTGGCTTTTCTCCTTAAATTTAGAGTCTTCGCAAATTTTAAATAAGGTTCAACATATTCTGAATTGAACTTTCTTTTCCCACCATAAGCGTGAAAAGGCTTCTCTCTTGACTTGTAAAAAGAATTGAAAGACTTTTTAAAGTTGGCCTAAATTTTATATATTAATCTATTACTTTACTCATTTCGCTCTTTATAACTTTCTGAAGCTAAGTTTGATTGGTACATGACATAAAAAATACTCTGTATAAGATAACAATGAAGTCATATGACCGGAAAAAACATGTGTGATTAAGATTTTTGCTGAAGAGGTAGCAAAGAATCATACATTAATTGATCAATGAAAAGAAACTAAGAAGTGACATTTTATTTTAATTTTGTCAAAATTTTTAATATGTCAAAGCTACGAGAGTCCCTCTATTAAATAGGTGTGACCATGAGCGGAGCTAGAGGTGGGCCAACCTAGGTCATGGCCGACCTCAAATTTTTAAAATGGCTTAATTTTTAAGATAAATGTTGAAAAACCGGACCGGCTCAGACCTCAATCACCACCAAGCCCAAAGGCTTGCTCACACTCACCACCAGGGATACAACCGGGGAAGACAGAAGGGCGACAGCCAACTAGCCCTCACACAAAGAACCCAGACCCCAGCCCAGAGAACCCACCGGAGCTACAGATAACCCACCACACTACCAGACAAGAGTGAAGACCCCAATAGGAACCCCAAGGTCTCACCGGAGCAAAGCCGGAGCTAAAGCTCAGAGGAAACCGGCACTCTCTCACTCTAGGTCTAGGGTAACCGAACTGAAGCGTCATTTTAGAGAGAAGGCGGAGAGGCAGAAATAGGAGGATTCCAGAAGAACCAGCCAAATATAAGGGAGGGCCACAAGGGATGGGCTGAGTTATAAGACAAAACGGGGGGATGGGCTTGGTCGGGTAGACAGACCATTTGGGCCAGGACAATTAATAGGAGACCAACTCCATAAATGAGGTGGACCAAAAGGCAGCTCAGGGATGGTCCATAGATGAGGTGGACCAATACCACAACAATCTCCACCTTATTGGTCCCCCTGGTGGTGTAGAGCACAACGTGAAAGAGAGAATCATCATCGCCGGTTTTTCCTGTTTTACAGTTCTTATCTAGCCACAATCTAAATTAAGAATACGCTTACAAGACAACAGTTTTTCAAAAGTGAGACATTTAGTCCCCATATCTGCAGGGTTAAATTCTGAAGGTATCTTGGACAGCTTTATCCAACCTGCATCCACAATATTTCTAATAAAATGAAACCTGACATCAATATGCTTGGTCGTGTCATGGAATACAGGATTCTTGCATAATTGGATAGCAGACTGGCTATCAGAGTACACTGTCACAACCTGCTTAAGAAAACCAATCTCAGTTAGCATTCGTTTAAGCCAAATAGCCTCTTTAAAGGCCTCAGTGGCTGCCACGTATTCAGATTCAGTAGTGGACAGTGCAACAATAGGTTGAAGTTGAGATTTCCAACTTATGCAGGAACCACAAAGAGTAAAAATGTAGGAAGTAGTAGACTTTCTATTGTCCCTATCATTTGCATAATTGGAGTCAACATAGCCAGTAAGTAAAATGCCAGTTTCAGTTTTAGAAAAAACAAGACCATGAGAAGGTGTACCCCTAAGGTATCTAAGGAGCCATTTAAGGGCAGTCCAGTGAGACATACCAGGGTTTGCCATATATCTACTTAAGCAACTGACAGCATAGGCTATATCAGGCCTTGTGCTTACCATGAGATACATGACTGACCCTATAGCACTGGAATAGGGTACAGCCTTCATCCTATCTATCTCAGGAGCAGTCCTTGGGGACTGATCCTTGCTTAGCACAAAATGGGATGCTAAGGGAACATTCACAGGTTGGGCAGAGTCAATTTTAAACTTTTTCAAGACCTTTTCAAGATAGGAGGTTTGGTTCAGGGTAAGGGTACACCTACTCCTATCCCTAAGAATATTAATCCCTAGGATTCTCTTAGCATCTCCAAGATCTTTCATAGCAAAGTTTTCACAAAGGCACTTTTGAACTATCTTAATAGCATTCACAGAGGGGCTAATGATAAGCATGTCATCAACATAGATTAACGAGAAAACAGGTACAGCAGCAGTATTCTTAAAATACAAACAAGGGTCAGAATCAGACCTTTTGAAACTCAGGGAAGACATACACTGGTCAAACTTGATATTCCATTGTCTGGGAGACTGTTTCAGGCCATAGAGGGCCTTCCTAAGTAGACAGACATGTCTAGGGTACTTAGGGTCAATAAAACCCTCAGGTTGGCTCATGAAAATCTGTTTATCTAGATCACCATGAAGGAAAGCAGTGGTAACATCCATCTGCTTCATCTCCCAGTCATTATGGGCAACTAGGGCAAGCATCATCCTAATTGTTGTGAATTTTACTACGGGAGCAAAAATTTCAGCATAGTCTACCCCTTCCTTTTGAGTGAAACCTTTTGCAACTAACCTAGCTTTAAACCTAATGTCATTTGTTTTTTCTTTAACTTTGAAAAGCCATTTGCACTCAACAACAGAACAATTAGGAGTCCTAGGAACTAGGGTCCAGGTTTTATTCAACTTAAGAGATTTTATCTCACTTTGCATAACACATAGCCAA